GTGTGAGTGTGTGTGTGAGTGTGTGTGTGTGTGTGTGTGTGTGTGTGTGTGTGTGTGTGTGTGATTTACAGCCATCAGTAGTAGTGATGGATGTCTCGTTCATTCTAGATTATGTGTGCGCAAATCATGTCACTGTCTTAAGAGAGTTTAAGCAAATACTACCACAGTTCCCGGCCACAGAAATAAGCTGCCAGTGAAAACACAAGTGGCTTTCTTTTTGTATTTCAAGTTGTTTGTTCACTGTAATCTGGTTGCCATTGTTACTACCTGCAGTGTTTTAGTCAATGTTTTCACACCGAAAAAAAGAAAAATGAATATTTTGAAAGCATTTTTCTGTGCAGAATGTTTCATTTTCTATTATGTACGTGTGAAGCTGTCTTTTATACGACCTTTTAGCCAAGCAAAATATTTGTAAACAATTCATAAATTTCAGTTTAATATATGTGGTAGAACATGACCTTTTTTCATTATATTTAAGTGTAAAAGTGGTCAGCGGAAAGGATGTGCAATGTGTCATTTCATACATTTATTTATAATTTTACCTTTCCCTGAGCTGACTTAAAGAAATATTTCACCCAAATGTAAACATCTGCTGACAATTAACTCATCCTCAGGCCATCCAAGATGCAGATGAGTTTGTTTCAGATTTCAGTCACTTGCTCACTAATGGGTCCTCTGCAGTGAATGGGTGCCGTCAGAATGAGAGTATTCTCTTGTAATTTCATCACATACATTGTAAAACAAACACAAAAATTAAGTCATTCATTTGTATAACCTCTAATAATTACTGCAAACTTTTATACAGGAGTAAGAAGCATATTTCAATGAAAAGACAGGGTGAGGTACTACTAGCAAAACTTACAAGACCCATGTGGAAGAATTATAGTGCAGATTTCATTCAGTTAAACTTAAATCATTCATTCAGTTAAACTTAAATCATTATATGCAGTGTAAAGTTTTATTTCGATCAGTGATTACGATGCAGCAGACTTCATAAGTTAGTAATTGTAGTACAGATGCTTCAGAATAATATTACTTGACTATGAAGGAATTAGAAATATAGTTAAAAATATGCACAGATCAAGCACCGTTTACAAGCAAAAACAGTCTAAAAGAGTTCTGAACAAATACGTGGGAGCATTTTGATGTGAGAAACAACAGGGAATGGACTTTTTCACTTGAGGAAGTGATAATGGATTATGAACCCGTGTTTTGGCCAGAAGCGATGCTTTAAAGTGAAAACACTTAAATTATTAATTGTTTCTTGAAAATACACAGCTTTTCACGTCACAAGACGTTAATTGATGGACTGGAGTGGTGTGGATTACTTGTGGATCATTGTGATTTTTTTATCAGCTGCTTGGTCTCTCATTCTGACGGCACCCATTCACTGCAGAGCATCCACTGGTGAGAAAGTAATGCTACATTTCTCCAAATCTGCTCCCATGAAGTAACAAACTCATCTACATCCTGGATGGCCTGAGAAGGCAGTACATTTTCAGCAAATTTTCATTTTTGGGTGAACCATTAAAGGGGTCATATGATGCGATCTTTTTCAGACCGATGAGCTTTGTAAAAATCGACACGTTTCAGAAAGGCGGGGCATAGAGGAGAAACAATAATGTACAGTATGTGGAAAATAATGTGTTTTTTTAACCTTAAACCACATAAACACATTTCATTACTCCAAATACACAAAATAATGTTCTTTTTAGCAACATCATATGACCCCTTTAATTTAAGACCAAGATCAGGGATATTCCACTTTGCATTTTGACCTAAGAACTTAGGACATGTTTAAAATTATGTTTAAATTAAAAGAGTTGATATGAAAAAACAAACAAACAAGCAGGGCCGGATTTACGCATAGGCATGTGCCTATGCTCGCTCGTCTAGGGGGGCCCAGACACAATGAAGAGATATATACTATTTTTGTTATACTATGGGCTATCTACAACAGTAAAATAGCCAAAACCCCAGAATACATTGAGCAAATAAATATAACAAACAATAGGGTAAAAAATGACAAATTATTTCCATGTTTTCCACCTACGGAAATCACACATTTTTTCTCCCGTTCGCTCAGTCGCACACAGACAGGCACTCACGTGAAGAGACACAAACAGAAACTTGTTGTCAGCGATGCCCCGCGAATTGATCAATAAAATAGTTTCGCAGCTGAAAAGCTACATGACATTTCTCAGTAGCGGGGTTCTTGAAGCAGTTCAACTTAAACAAAAATGTGTTTTGCCTATGTCACGATAAGAGGTAAATCCGGCCCTGCATACAAGTAACTTCCACTTATTTTAAAGATACACCTTCACTTATTCTCAAGTTTTACCACTGCCTGTCTAAGTTTGACATTACAGATTCATTTCAAGGAGACAGATTAAACACAGTAAAACAAAAATCTAAAATAAAAGTTTTTGTTTGCATAATGCATGTGTGTGTTTTTTAAGTATATATAAATACACACACATACAGTATATATTTTGAAAATACTTTGATAATAAATATATCATGTATTTACGTCTATAATTATATTCATATAATTTATATTATATGTGTGTGTGTGTATTTATATATACATAATAAATATACACAGTACACATACATATATTATGTAAACAAAAACTTTTATTTTTGATGCGATTAATCGCGATGAATAATTTGACAGCACATGTTAACCCATTGTTTTTATTTATTTTAATGATTTATTTAAATCAATTTTATTTATTACAATCATTCATTTAAATCATTAATATATTTAATTTAATCTTATTTTTATTTACTTATTTGTCTTTAGTATTTATTTAACTCATTTTTATTATTTGTTGTCATCTTTTGTTTTTATTATCTGTTTTAATTATGTATTTATTTTAATGTAATTTTTTTTTTAATCTTTATTATTTAATACTTCATTTATTTATTTGAATCATGTATTTATGCATTTAGTTTAATCTTATTTTTATTATTTATTTATTTATTTAAATTTGAAAAAATTTAAATTTTTTTACACTGTTTCCTCTTAACTTCCTGATATCATTATCTGGTATCTCTCTCTCTCTCTCTCTCTCTCTCTCTCTCTCAGGGCATTCATCTGCTGAGCTCCACTATAGAGGAGTGCTGGGATCACGACCCCGAGGCGCGTGTGACGGCGCAGTGTGTCGTGGAGAGATTCGGTGAAATCAGCACTGCTGTGATCTCGCCCCTCAGTGCCGACACCAAGAGCGCACAGGATTCTGGGATCGATGAGAAGGAGTTCTGAACCGCAGACACCCGTCTGTCCAATCAGCTGATGAAGGCTGTTTAAGACAAACGTGTGACATTTGCACTTTACAGGATCAGCTAAACACACCACATCCACGCATGCGTACAGCACAGGTGACGTTTATTTAGCTATGAACTCATACTCCATACCCAGAGCGCGTGTATGACGCCAGCCGCTTGTTAGCAATCATTATAAGCTTCAGGGAAAATCTGCTTCGCTGACGTGAAACAGTCAAACACAGAGGAACGGGAGTCCTGACACAAAGGATTCTGGGACGTGTGAACTCGTACCAAGAAAATCCAAGAGACCCTTTGTGAACTTACAGTATTATAAAGCCACAAGATGATTATGAGCGATAAATCAGATCAAATCCAGCTTGTTTAAGTGTTTATTAAAGAAAAAAATATAAAATAACTAGCGCTGTCAAACGATTAATCGCGATTAATCGAATCCAAAATAAAAGTTTTTGTTTACATAATATATGTATGTGTACTGTGTTTATTTATTAAGTATATATAAATACACACACATACAGTATATATTTTGAAAATACTTTGATAATAAATATATCATGTATTTACGTCTATAATTATATTCATATAATTTATATTATATGTGTGTGTGTGTATTTATATATACATAATAAATATACACAGT